ACGCCTCCAGCAACCAAGATCCGAGTGCTTTCTGGATCCGCAGTGTGAACACCGATCGCGGTTAAACCCATTACCGTGGATCTTCAGGTTGTGCTCTTGATGGCCATGATCACGATCTGGAAGTCGTGGATCCGGGCTCGCCGACTCCTTCTCCACTTTCGGGGTAACATCTTCACTCGCTGCAAGGAAGATCCTACGGTGGTTGTCTAGTCGGAGTCAGGATCGGATCCACCCGATCCGTCAGATTTGCTGTCGGATCCAGATTCGTTTGCTTGGATCTGGATCGCACGCACTTGTTTCGCTGGGTCGTATTGGCTGTCTTCTGGCGATACTTGCCAGATCCAAACGCAGCTTTCTTCTGGCGATTCTTCGCTCGATCCCGAGCGCGAAGGACGTCTTCGAGATCATCCGCGTCGGTCAACCGTAGCAGGGTTAACCGTTCTGCTAGATCTTCATCCTCAAGCGTCTCGATGTAATGATCGACATGTTCACGTCGTTCCTTCGCGCTGCCATCCTTGATCTTCAGCCGCGCACGGAGTCCCGCCACGTGGAGCCGATACAGGTAGTCCAGTGGTGATTCGTCAGATCTGCGTCGCATATGGTAGTATTGTCTTGCTACCGATACTCCAAGCCCACAGTACTGGATCTGGAAACTGTGAAGCAGATCGCTCCATTTGTTGCGTGTGGTTCTGCTCAGCTGGCGATACCAATCCTTCGCGGACCCAGCGAGGAGTTCCGCGAAGGTCAAGCATTTTTCGTCATCTGATGCTTGATCTCGCATGAACACAGATTTCACTTTGCTGATCCACGCTCGCCCGCGATCTTCATCTTGATCCTTGCCAGTAAACTCCTTGAGATCCGAGATAGCAGAGATCCGGACTCGTTGGATCATGGTGGATGCAGTGGATCCGGATGCGGCAGTGGCCACGGTCGCTTGGGCGGGTGCCGGGAAGTCAATGTCGTCCGGATCGTATTCCCAATTGGATCCGCGATCCGATGATCGGATCGACTCCATCTCAACGACCCGTGATCTGGTATTCTGAGGTTCTGTAACGACTGGATCCGCACCTGTCGCTTGTTGTTCAACCAGGAACCGATCCATCGCTGCGTTGAAGAACTTCTGCAGCGTTCCAGCTGAGCGATCCGAGCTCG